ATACGAAGTTATTACGGAAAGGGGAAGGTGGCGGGGGGTTGGGTGGAGGCGGGGCCGTCAGGCTGAGAGGCGTTCTCGACTGCAGATCCTCCAGCTGGCATGGTTGTCCCATGTATTTGCCATGGCAGATGATGCCGCTGCCTGTGTTATGGTCGCCAATGTTGTTGAATCCATTATTGTCGTCCCCTGCAGAGGTGGAGGTGGTGTCAGGTGACGGTTTGGGGCGGCGCACAAGTGTACTGCACCGCCGCCCACACGACCGGCGCCTACCCAGGTTGTTGTCCCCCCTGTTGTGGTTGCCAATGTTGTCATGGCCCAGATTGTAGTTGCCGGCGTTGCCATTCGCGTCCTTGTAGCACGACCACATGCCCTCTGGCACACACTCAGCGATCGCGACAAAAAAACAGTGTGGCACTTTGTGAGGGTTGCAGATCTCGTAGGTTCTTGGGTTGATGGTGCTGATGGAGAAGGCTGGAAAGGGGTACGAGCCATTCATGGCCGAAATCGTCATCAGGGAGTTGCGTCCATAGCCCATGAGCCTGCAAAGCCGGCAGAGTGCATTCATCAGTGATCCTTGTGGGAACCGCCATGCATACTGCCTCAGAGCTGCCTCAGCATGAAAATTTGGTCAGTCAGGACGGTGCCGCGCGGTTTGCGCCAAGCTCTGCCCACCCCTCCTCACTCGCAGTAGGCCGTCCGGCTGTCAGCCGCCACCAAATAGATTGCGTCCCCGAACCTGGGAAGGGGGAAGGGGGGGGGTCCCTCAATTTATGTTGAGGCCCTCCAAGCTGCGTGGCACACGTTCATACGGTGCACACATCCATAATCGGCCCCTTCCTCCCTTTGCACGGTCTTACTCAATGATGGGCAAGGAAATGATGCTGATGGCGGGGGAGCAGCTCTGTCCGGGCGGCGGGGAAGGGGGGGGGGAGGGGGGAGGCAGTGGTGGTGGCGGGGGGGGGTTCGGAGGTGGGGGGGTGGGAGGGGGTGGAGAGGGTGGAGGGGTTCCAGGTATGTAGACTGTCTCAGATGTTCTGAGGTACTCGACCTGACATGGAGAATCTGCGGCCCAGTTATTGCAGACGATGTGGCTTCCTGTGTTATTGTTGCCAATGTTGAAATTGCCAGTGTTGCCATTCCCTGCAGTATGGTGTAGACCAGGGGACCCTGTGGATTGTTATGCAGTGCCAGGCATTCTTTGTGGGGAAACGACCGTCCAATGCAAACCTACCGTAGTTGTAGTCGCCGATGTTTTTGTTTCCGGTGTTGTAAAAGCCATCGTCGGCGGTGCCCAAGTTATGATGAAGCAGTGTTTCAAAGCAGTAGTCCATCCCTTCCGGGTAGCAGATAACCAACTTCACATAGTCGCAGGGGCCATCGGGTGTGGGCGTGCAGAGCCCTTGAGTGGCTGGGTTGATTGTGCCGATGGTGAACCCGGTGAATGGGTCCCCAATAGACATTGTAGCGGTGAATTCAGCCCACTTGCCGCCGTATCCCCTCAATCTGCGGATTGGAAGAGATCCAGGAAGTGTGCCTGTGAACCAGGCCCCTCGGCACTTGGACAAGCAAGCAGCCCCGGGTTTCATCGACCGCCAGAACCTCTCTGGCCAGCATCTGCAGAGTCCATGCGACCTCGGCTCACCGGCAGTAAGCCTCAGACCTTCCAGAGCCGAGCAGGTACAGCTTGCCGTTGTAACTGGGGAGGGACAAGAGAGTGAGACTCGTGCTCAGCGAGTCGTAAATTGAGACTTCGAGCATCAAGCTTGGCCTAGCACCCGAATGCTGATAAGCAAGCAATACGATTTTCTGGCTTGGACGGCTCACTCGAGGGTGGGAAGGCCGTAGAAACCAATGCTCGGGTCGCAGTCAGCCTGCGAGGGTGCAGGGCTCCTGATTCTATCTCAACACCGTGGGAGTCGTGTCAGCTGAGATTTGAGAAGCCTCCGCCATTCACGCGAGGCAGCACACTGTCACCCCACCTGTGCGTCTCGCACGCATGCGCCAGCGAGAAGCACGCCAAGGAGGAATGTCGCGAATCTCCTCCAGCATCCCATGTCTGGCAAAGCCAGGGCAGAGAACACTCAGTGTCAAGACTGTACAACCACTCCAAGGGAGTACAGACTGGTCTTGAAAGGATACCGAGTTTGGGATGTACGTGGCAGCCTTCCTCTTGCCCGCACTCCGGGCCGATAGCGACCCGGAGGCCGAAACGAGCAGTCCGGAGGCCCGGAGGTGTCCATCAGTGTCCCGGGCCCTGACCGGCACGCGGGCCCTCGCAAAAGGGCGATATCCCTTCCGAGCACACCAGGCAGCGCAGAGCCCCCTGGGCGGTTTGCGCCTCCCAAGCTCGCCGGAGGACGGGCGGCACCCGGAGCATGGCATCGGGGCCAGGCAGGTCCCCGCGCTGCCCCTGGTTCCCACCGGCCGTCCATGGGTTACAGCATGTGGAGAGGGCTGTGGCCCCTCACGCTTCGGTGTGCCTCCCCGCCTCGACCTCACGCAGCCCCCGAATCTCGCCGCAGACGCTCCACCACCTGCGCGCGCTTCTGCGCCAACCGGCCGAGGAGGCGCTCGCCTCGAGCCCCGCCCGCGCCGGGCGCCGGCGGCCCCTCCTCCGCATCCCTGCGGTCGCCTGGCACGGGCACATCATCGGCCCCTGCTCCTCCCTCCGCTCCCCCGCCCTCCTCCGGCCCGGCCCCCGGCGGGCCCGTGCCTTCCTCGCCCCGCGCCGCGTCGCCGCGGCCTGCCCCCGGCGGCCCCAGGCCCGGCAGGCACGCATCCACGCCTGGGTCCTCTAGCCCCAGCAGGCCAGGCAGCAGGATGTCCCCACCGCCTGCGCAGGAGGGTGGAGGGGCAGTGGGCGGTGCGCAGGCGGACAGGGCCAGCCGTGCGGCGCGAGGTTTCCCGGGACGAAACATTCCGGCGAGGTGTGCCCGCCTCGGGCGGGGCAGGGGTGGCGCGGCGCTGGTGCGCCCGCAACTAAGCTGCTCCAACCCCGCAGGCGTGGCTCCCCGGACCCCGGCTTTCCCACTCAGCCCCCAGTGCAGGTCCCCCTGCGCCAGGCCCCTCTCCCGTCTGGTCCCAGTCCCGCCGGCGGACGGCCTCACCCGGGAAGACAATGTTCCTGGTGAAGGCCATGCGCACGCGCTGCTCGATGAGGGAGCTGACGCGCGCGACGTGCGCGCTGTACTTGAGCAGGCGGCTGCCGAGCTGGGGCGTGGCGGTGACCACCAGGCGCGGCGGCGCCAGGAAGGAGTAGAACAGGCGGTTGCCCGGGGCGGGGGGGAGTCCAGGCCACCATGCGCCCCTCCAGCTCCGAGAAGGTCAGGCGCAGGCGCAGCGGCACGCGCCCGATGCCATCCGCCGCCGACTCGGCCAGGCCGCGCAGCGTCCTGGCCGCCGACCGGCGCAGGCCGCCCAGCCGCGCTCGCGGCGGGCGCGGCGAGGGCGGCTCGTCCCCGGGGGGGCACGGGCCCGCCGACCCCGGGCCCGCCGCGCCACCCAGGCCCGGCCCCACGCTCAAACCCCCCGCGCCCCCCGGCCCCGCCTCCCAGCGCGCCAGGGTCGCGTCCAGGCGGCCCCAGGCCGCCGCGTCCCGCAGCTCCAGCTTGGCCTCCAGCACGACGGCAAAGGCGCCTGCGTAGCGCACGTCGAAGGCCAGCTGCGGCCAGAGCGCGCCGGGGTGGGGGCAGGGCAGGGAGGCTGCGCGCGAGACCGTTGGCACGCTGGACCCAGGGTCCACCTCCAGCAGTCGCAGCTCCTGCACCACGTCGGCGGTCTGCAGCCGGCTGAGCTGGCGCTGGATGCGGCGGAAGAGCGCTTCGCGCGCCGCGCCGCCGCGCAGCGCGTCGAAGCCCGCCCGCACCAGCAGCAGGTTCAGGGCGTGGTCCAGGGGCAGCGGCGGCGTGGGGCCAGGGCCGGGCGGCGCGGCGGCCGGCGCCGGACCCCCCCACGCCGCCTCGGGCGAGCCCGCGCCAGGGCCGGGCTCGACGCCGCCCGCGCCGCGCACGGGCTTGGCTGGGGAAGAGGCCGGCGTGAGGAAGGGCGGGTCGCCGCCGTCCGGCGAAGACTCGCCTGGCGACGGCCCGCCCGCCGCCGGGCAGGGCTGCATGCAGATCTCCACGGGCATGCTGGCCACCGACTGGCCCGCCGCCGCGGCCGCCGCGCGGCGCGCGGTGGCGGGCGGCAGCGGCACCCGGCTGCTCTGCATCCACTTGCGGTCCCAGAAGCGCTCTATGGAGTCCTCCTCGCCTGTGGTCGAGGCGGAGGAGGGTGCGCTGGCGAGGGGGGCACGCGCGGCGGGGACGGGGGCCCCGGCCGCCGCGGGGCCCGTCGCCAGGTCCGGCGGCGCCCCATTCGGGCCGGTGCGCCGACCGCGCCGGCGGCCGGGATGGAGCCGGCGGCCCGCTCCCGCCCGCGACGCCCGCGGAAGGCGGCGGCGGTGGCGGCGACCAGGCGGCGCCACTGGCTCCCCACCCGCGCCGACCCAGGGGGCGGCGGGTCGGGGGGTCCCGCCGCGTCGCAGGCCAGGGCAAAGGGCAGCAGGGCCTGCCGGGACATGGCCTCGCAGTACCGCTGGTACTGCACCTCGATCGAACGCAGGCGCTCGCACCCCTCACACCACCATTGCAGGGCGTGCAGCCAGCCCTGCTTCGACGCGGGGTCGCCTGGGGCCAGCGGTGGGAAGGGTGCCGGGGATCGACTCTGATGGACGGGGCGCGGCTTTCGGGACGAGAGCAATGAGTGTGGAGCGGAGGAGGTTGCAGCGCCCTTCCCCGTCCCCCACCCCCTACCACCCCGACTCACAGGCAAAGAGGAAGAAGGCCTGCTCCCCGGCAAACAGGGGCCACTCGGCATGCGTTATCAGCAGGGGACCCCGCCGAATGTACTCAGAGCGGCCATTCAGCCCATCCCTGACCAGCTCGACTGTGCACGGGGCGGAGGAATGGCTTGCGTGCGGTCAAGGCCGGGGGAGGCTGGGCCCAGGGCAGGCGGCTGTCGTGTGGCTGCAGCTCAGCATCATGTGGGGGCCCGCGGACCAACCACCCTGCACCCACCCCGGGCCCCCTCCCTGCACAGTGGCTGTGCATCCTCCCCGCCCCCCGGCCTTGTCCGCACCCGAGCACCCCTCCAGGGGAATGCCGACTTTGGTGGGCGGCACGCCGTCCACGCCCCCGCGCGTCAGCACCAGCGTGCCCTGGTCGAGCACCGCATCCCAGGGGGCCAGGCTGGGCTCGGTGACGGGAGAGGGCGGCCACTTGACCACGGTGGCGTCGCGCCGCCAGGTGGAGAGGGGGGCCAGGTACACCGGGCCGGCAAACCAGCCCCGCACTGGGGTCGTGTGCGGCGGCCGGCCCTGGCACGCCCCAGGGTCCGGCGGCGGCGGCATGGCGTGGGCCTCCGGAGCGGGGTCCTGTCTGCCCGGGCTCGCCTCCGGCCCGTTCAAGCTGCCGACGTGCGTGAAGGCCAGGAAGAGAGCGACCTGGTCGGCGGATGGTGGGGAAGCTCGGAAGGATGCGGGTCGGGCGAGCAGGGACGGCCCCGGGCCAGCGAAGGGCGCCCGCCCGCGCTCGCAGCATGCAGCGCACCGCACTCCCACCGGCTCACCGTGCCCGCCACGGTGGCTGCACACCCCAGCACGGCCCCGAGGAGCAGGACGCCGAGGATGGGGAGCCATGCCTGTAGCGCCCAGGCTGAAGCAGCCACCCTGCAGCCAGGGACCCAGTGGGGGGAGGCAGGGATCAAGGGGTCAAGGGCAGGCCAAAGGGCTCCACTAGAGCATCCTCCACGAAACACCACTCACCCTGCTGCCAGGGAAACATGGGTCCACGGCCAGGCGTGGGAGGGGCCCCACTGCGGGACCCTTTCACGCAGAGTCATGGGTCCCGGCGCGGTTTGTGAGGGGAGGGGTGACCCAAAGCAAAAGAATCAGCTGTAAAACTGCCCATGGTGCGGGTCAGCAGCACGAAGCGAAGCCTGATCGGTCGGGAGCATGGCTGCGAGGCCTTGGATCACTCCAGGGGGCCATGAACTGGCGCACCCAATCGACCGTCGGACGCTTCTCAGACACTGGATCCAGGCGTGCGTTATTCTATGTTTGCCATGCAGACCATTCCCTGGCGGGTGCAGGGAAACCCTGGGCCCCTACATGGATCCTCTTCGCCATGTGCGGGCCGAGCTTGCGCCAGCTCAGCACCAGCAGGGAATCTGTCCCTCTCTGGCCCGTCGGCAGCACTTCTTTTCTTTCGTGTGATCTTTCTCATGTACTGAAGCATACTCCTGTCGATCCACAGAGCAGCGCCTCAACCGGCCAGAGACAGGCCATGGATCACTCGCGCCTCTCCTTCACCATGAGAGCTTGTGGGGATGCTCTCCGGTGAGGCAGCATGCCGCGGGATCCCTTCTTACCCGCGCTCGATCGGCCCAGCTCCGTGGTGGTTGCACGCAACCGCGCTCGCAACCAGTGGCGACTGGTGCTGACCACCCCGGCCAGGTGGGGGGGTCTGGATCGGTACCCCTTGGGCCTTTATATATTGCTGGGACCCTGTGCTCATGTGAAATGCATCATTAACCAACTGCACACATCACACCATGTATCGCTTGCGCAGTCCCCAGACCGAGGTCGTGGTCATCGATGACGCCAGTGGGCTGCTCCTGTGCCAGCCCGGCCCAGGCTTCCCCTCAGAGGTTTGTGCAGGCTAAAGGGCGCTGTGGGTTTCCTGTCTTCTCTGCCCTGTAAGGTAGCAGAGCAGCACGAGGGAGGCCCGAATGAGCACAGCTTGGGTTGCAGCACCCCACTCCTGGCACCTCCATCTGACTGATCCCTCCTCCCCCCCTCCCCTCCACGCCATCGTCCAGCTGGCGGCGCTGTCCTCCCTGCACGCGCTCGGGTACGAGGCCGAGCACCGGGGTGACGCCCTGCTGGGCTACGTCGCAACACGGTGCGTTGCCGGCGTGCTGCTGGCGACGAGGACGCGGGAGAAGGGGGTGCTGCCTGGCGGGCATGCGCTGCTCACACTCACGGAGAGCGCCTGGCTCCTCCTGCCCCTGTCGCAGGTTGAAGGATGGGGGTCCTGGTTGTGCGCGTGTATGTGTGGTTGTGGGGGTTGGGGGGGCTGGAGGGGGCCTGGGGTGGTGAGGAGCCGAGGAGTGCTTTCTGTGGTGCAGGGCGCATGCATCCAGGCTACATGCCACCGGGGGTTTGACCCCCCCCATATTCATCCTTTCCCATCCCCCCCACACACAAATTCTTAGGCCGGTCCGGGGGGCCTGGAGGTGGCCAGCCCCGCGGAGCAGGAGTTCTGGCGCCTGCTCCAGCAGGTGACGCTGGACGGCGCGCACTACTTCTGCTGGACGGCGGACCTGTCGCGCCCCTTCCCCTCCCCCCGCCCTGCCGCCGACCCCGCCCCCGAGTTCGTGTGGAACCGGTGGCTGTCGGCGCCGCTGGCGCGCGCCGGGCTGCCGGGGCGCTGCCCGGTGCTGCTCCAGGGCGCGGCCGAGGTCAGCCTGCACGCCGGGGTCGGCGCCGCGCCGCCCTTCGCCCTGGCGCTCGTGTCCCGGCGCAGCCGGCGCCACCCGGGCACGCGCTACCTGGCGCGCGGCCTGAACGAGGCCGCCGGGCCTGGGAATGAGATCGAGTGCGAGCTGGTTGCCTGGACGCTGGCACGCGGGGCCGCGGGCGGGCGCGCAGGCGTGCGCTGGGCCTGCTGCGTCTGGCGCCGCGGCACGGTGCCCATCTGGTGGGGCGTCAGCCTGGCCTCCCTGCAGAAAGGCCTGGCGGCGGAGGTGTACGTGCGCGAGCGCGACCCCTACCGCGGCAGCGCCGCCTACTTCAGGGGGGTGCAGCGTGCCTGGGCGCGCTACGAGGCCGGGCAGACGGCGGCTGGGGCGGGCGGAAGCGTGCGAGCTGGGCAGGCGGTGGCTGAGGAGGGGAGCGCGTCAGGCATGCAGGCGGCTGGCGGGCAGGGAGGCGGGGGGGCCACGCCCGCAAACCCCGCTGCGTCAGAGGATGCAGCAGAGGAGGGCCTGCACGTCCCCGTCACCTGTGTCAACCTGCTGCACTGCAACCCGGCCAAGGCCTCCGAGCTCATGCTGTCCTCGCACTTCCAGGAGGTGGGGCGTGTGTGGGCTGGCAGCAGGGGGGCCTCAAACAGGATGCGATGTCTGGATGCTGGGGCTGCCAGGCACTTTCGTCGGGGTGGGCCCACCCCCACAAGCTGTTTTGCGACACCCAATGCCCTGCCCACCGACCCCAACCCCCCAGCAGAGCATGAGGCATGTGCGCCGCATCCTCCCTCCCGGTGCTCCCATCCGGGTCGTGAACTTCGACTGGCACGGCAACATCGGGAGGCTGGGCGAGGAGAAGGGGGTGGAGGGCTTCTGGTCCTTCATGGAGCCCTTTGTCAAGCAGGTGGGCCCGGGGAAGGGTCCCCTGGTGTTGGCTGTGTTGCATTTGGCTGTGGACCAAGGTTTGACATGGAGGTGGAGTGGAGGGGCCTGCATCGCAGCCTTGCCATGGTCGAGCCCGACCCTTGGTCATCCATGTCGAACCTGCCTCCATTGCTCCCTGTGCAGACGGGGTTCTCGCACGGCACCCTGCACGATGGCGGCGCAGTGGGAGAAGGCAGGGAGCGCGACGGCATCACGACCAGCCTGGGCCCCGCCCGCCGCACCCCCTGGGCCGGTGGCTGGGTGGCTGAGTGGGAGGCGCGCCAGGCGGGCGTCCTGCGCTACAACTGTGCGGACAGCCTGGACCGGACCAACGCCGCGACGTGCTTCGCCACGCTGCCGGTGCTCCAGGACGCACTGCGCACGCTGGGCGTCGACCTGTGCGTCGGGCCGGGGCGGGATGCGGGGGGCGCCGCGCGCTCGGGGGTGGAGGAGGGCGGCGCCGTGCGGCCAGACGCGGGCGCCCTGGGTTCCCTGCCGCCGCCGCTTGTCGCAGGCCGTCCAGCGTCTACGGAGCAGGTTCCCCCTGTGAGTCTCGTGAGGGCCAGGATGCAGTGCCAGCCAGCTGCACGCATGGCTATTCTCCGCCCGACCCAGCCATCCGACAGGCGCCACTTGCCACCCAATCTCCACGTTTTGTTTTTGCATGCCATTGGCCTCTCTCGGGCAGTGCAGCAGCCAGGTGTTCCAAACGGCCTGGCAATCTCGATCCCCATCCCACCCCTCCTCCCCTTCCCTCCTGCTCGCCAGGGGTGGGAGGTGCGATGGCACGGCGGCCGGCCCCTCTACTTCGACCACGCCAACCGCAGGACGCAGTGGGAGGCGCCCAGCTGGCCAGAGGAGCCGGATGCGCGCCCCGCGCAGGCGGCGAGCGGCCCGGCAGCCGCTCCCGACCCCGGGACGGGTGGCAGCCCCGCGCGGGTCGAAGTCCCCCCACCCGGCGCCACGGCCGTCGCCCTGGCACAGCTCTCCCTGCGGCAGGGGCGGGAGGACGGGGCGCCAGACCCAGCCCCGCGGCCGGGACCCGCGCCCAGAGAAGACTCGGGGCACGTGCGGCCGGGGGCGGGGCCGCTCGGCTCCCCCGGCCCCACCCCCCCGCAGGGGCCCCAGCCTTGGGCCTTCTTCGGCCTGCGGGGCATGGCCGAGGTGCGGGCCCGCCTGCGCCGCCCCGTGGTTGCCGACTTCGTGGAGGCCTTTCGAGTGCACGGCGACATCAACTCCTTCCTCTACACCGGCTCCCCGGCCATGCACTCCCACGTGCTGGGCCTGGTCCTCCAGGTGCCGGCAGGCTCAGTTGGCTCAGGGGTGGGAGGGAGGGAATCAATGCATGCGCACGCCTTGCCCCCCCTCCCCCGAGACCGCAGAAGCGTCATTGTGGGGTGGGCTTCTTGAGATGCCGGTGCATGGGAGCGCACCCCCTCCCAACCACGCACCCCCTCTCCTCACCTCGCAGAACTCGAGCCGGACGTACAGCGCCGCCAGCGGCGTCGGCAAGCTGCAGAACATCCGCGTGGCGCTGCAGCGCCGCTGGAACAACACCGTCAGCGACGGCGCGCGCCAGCAGGCGCTGGAGCTGTTCCTGGGCGTGAAGCTGGACAGCAGCTGCCCGGGGCTGGATCTGGTTTACGGGCCGGAGGAGTGGGCGGAGCCGGAGCTGCGAGACCCGGAGGGGCCGACCGTGGACGGGGCGGGGCCGGGCGCCGGGCCGGCGCCGGCAGGGGATGCGGAGGCCGCCGCGCTGCCGCCGCCGCCCTTTCCTCACCATGCCGACCTGGCGTCCCTGGCCAGCCCCGGGCAGGCCCCGCCGGCGAGGCAGGGGCCGGCCCTCGGCGCCGACGGCACCGCGGGGGACCCGCTGGGCGCCTCGCCGGGCGCCACGCTGGTGACCAACGGCGTGACGGCGCCGTCGGACGCACAGGCGCAGCAGGCTGCTGCGGAGCTGGACCTGCTGCTCTGAGGTGCCCTCGGCGGGCTGGGGTGCAGGCGGGACGCCGGAAGCGGCTTTGCGACTGTTCACCCCAGGAGCGGTGCCCTGTCTGCCCGGCTCAGGATACCGTTCGTCATCTGCTCGCCCTTGACCCTCCTGTGTCTGTTGCGAACAGCACCGTCCCTGTCCCGGCTTTTTGCTGGCGTTGCTTTTATACACACTCGTCAGACGGGGAGGGCACGTAGCAGGAAGGCTCGCAGATCGTGCATCTCCTCCGTGCAGCGTTCGTGGGCGAGGCCGGGATACGTCTTGAACTCCAGGTCCTTGGCCCCTGTGGGGGCCGGGGTTTGACATGTCAGCGGCTGTCAACAGGCACTCGTCTTGCCCATGAGGACATGGCGGTGCAAGCATGTGCTCGCTACTCCCCAAAGCCCCACTTTCAGAGTCGGGAGCACTGTTTGCAATGGATTGCACGCCATCCAAGCCAGGACCAAGCCTCGCACGGCAACCACACCGCACCAGCTCTCAGCAGCACATCGCGGGTCTCCTCTCCAGTTGCATAGGGAACCAGGTCGTCAGCGTCGCCATGGGCCAGAAAGATGGGGCGAGCCAGGGCTGCCGGGGTCGCCTGGCAAGGAGGTTGGGGGAATGGGCTGGTGTTGCTGTTCCTTGAGCACCCCCAAAGGGTTCACACCCGCCATGCATGGATGAGGAAAAGGGGCTCATGAGCCTGTCATCGGACCCCATGCCTCCTCCCAGGGGACGCAACCCCTACCGTCACCTTGCAACCCGCCATCAGGCCCCTCACCTCCAGGTCCTGGGGGGCCAGCCAGGTGGAGAGCCCCGCCACCCCCGCCAGTGTGGGCTTGTAGGTTGCAAAGGTCTTCAGGACCAGGCGCCCGGCCTGGCTGAAGCCGACCAGGGCGATGCGGTGCTCCGGGATGCCGGCCGCAACCTCGTCGTCGATCAGGCCCCGCAGGTATGCCTCTGCCTCCCTCAGGCCCTCGGGGTCGAATTCCTTGCCATCCATGGCCTCCCTGAACTTTGCAGCACCCACTCCATCTAGGTCGTACCAGCCTGGGGAGGGAGCCGGCGGAGGGAGTATTCACAGGGAGGGCTGGGCTCGGGTGTGGGGCGCCTTGCGTATGCTGTCAAGCATTCGGAACACGGCAGTCAAGGCCCTGCATGGCTGCGACCCTGGGCAGGGACACTCACACACCGACCTAGACAGTGTACCTCTGTATGTCTTGCCGGAGCCTTCTCCAAGGTCGAGTGTGATGGGGCGGAGGGGTGCATTTGGAGCAATCAGCTTGATGTGTGGGACCTCAAACTCGGGGAGGCGTTGGACCCAGTCCTCCGCTGCATGGTTGGCGGGGTTTTGAGTGTACTTCAGATTAGGATTGTGCAATGGTGAAGTTACAAACATCGTGCCAGACATGAGACTTGTATTGAGCGGGAGTTGAGCCCGGTGCATCTCCATGCCCCCATCGGCCCCAATACCCCGGTCCAGATCCCGCTTCAGATTCGTACAACGCTTCGAACCCACCAGATCCGGTGAGCCCATGCAGCAAGATGACAGTGGCGGTGTGCTGTTCCCGTGACTCGTGCACGATTGTGGGACCGTATTCCAGCATTGTGAGGTTTGATTGGGTCGCAGTGTTGGGTATGACGCGGTGACGATGACTCTCGTTTCGGAGTTCGCCTTTCAGAGCCAAGGTATGTCAAATTCAATTTGTCGAAGGACCTGCAGAGATTATCAATGCGGAGGAGAAGAATAGGGTTGCGATGGGAATTGCAACCTGATGCGTGATCAACCGGTGCGTCGCTGCGTTGCTCAGCCCACACACACTTTACATAATTTTCATCATCATCATCGCCAGGGCGCGCATTCGGGGGGGGGATGCCTTGCCCTCTAGAGCTGTGATCGCACGATTCGATCGCGGTGCATGATCTTGCCTCACGGGGAAGTTCCACCGGATAAGATTATATGAAAGTGGTTTCGAGTTCTGAGATGTGCTGCAGCATGTAGAGCAGTCGGCAGACCCCACCAAAGCCGGGACAGGACGCATGAGCTCGTTCTGGGAGGCTTGGCAACCGCGGCCCGCCGATTTGGAGGCTCTGAGGTACGGAGAGTGATATCTACATGTCATGAGCGCTGGAACTCTGGCCAAGCTGTCAGTACCCGATGCCACCCTCCTCCCACAGCGCCATCCCAATCTTCCCCCAGGACCTCGAATCCCCACCTGCCCTTCCCTGCCACGTCCCCTCTCCTGATCCTCCCGGGATCCCCCGTCACCCCCCTGCGCCTTCCCCTCTTCGGAGCCACCTGCACCTCCACTGCCGGTGTGCTCGCGCCCGACCAGCCCCTGCCGGACGCAGCAGCTGCGGAGGACGTGTGCCTTTTCGTGGGCGGCCCCGTCTGGGCGCTGGCCTGGTGCCCCCACTCGCTGCCGCATGGAAAGCATGCCCCCGGCGCCGCGCACGAGGCCGCCGTGGACTTCCTGGCCCTGGCCTGCCACCCCCCCGGCCAGCCCCGGCACACCATCGGCGCGCCGGCCTCCGGCCCCGCTGCCGTCCAGGTCTGGGCCCTGCCCCGTCCCGGGGCGCGGGGTGGCAAGGACACCCCCCTCCCGCCCTCCCTCCATTGCATCCTGCCGCACGACGGCGGCGTGACCTGGGGCCTGGTGTGGTGCCCCGACCCAGGGGCCTGCCTGCTTGACGCTGATCCGGGGTCCGAGCCTGGCGCTCCAGGGCGGCTGGGCCTGCTGGCGGCCTGTCAGGGCGACGGGCTGGTGGCCGTGCACGCCGTCCCCGCCCGTCCGGGCCCCGGGCCCGGCCCCGTCGCCGCGCGCGCGCGCGTGGCCTGCCTGAACGTCGCCGCGCTGGGCACGCTGCCCTCCTGCCTGGACTGGGCGCCGGCCGCGCCGCACGACACCCTCCTCATCGGCTGCTGGGACGGCTCGGCCCTGCTGCTCAAGCTCGCGCCGAGTGCGCTGGGGGCCGACGGCAGGAGTGGGCCCTCCGCCGGGGCGGGGGGCCTGCGGCCGCTGGCGCGCTACGCCGCGGACGCCCTGCCCCTGCGCGGCGTGTCCTTCTTTCCGCCCGGTGAGAACGACGATGCCGGCGCCCCCGACCCCGCCGCGCGGCACACCTTCGCGGCGGCGGGCCAGGGCGGCGCGCTGACGGTCTGGGACGCGCGCGACCCGCTGGGCCCGGCCTACGCCCAGCTGCTGACCAGCGGCTGCCTGCTCGGCCTGGCCTGGACGGCGGACCCGCGCGGCCTGCTGGTCGCCTGCGACGACGGCGCCGTGCGCGGCGTGCTCGTCGACGCGCGGGCCCTGGCCCAGAACGCCGCCTGCAACGGCGAGTCTGGGATGAGCGCTTGGTGGTTTTGTGTGTGTGTGTGCATGGGTGGGTGGGTGGGGGTGATCACAGACTGGGGTAGGGGTGAGGTTGTAATGCGGGCACCCTGCAGCCCTTGCCGATGTCGTGTGCGAAAGAACGCAAGGCATCAAGCGATTACAGTATCGACCTTCAGACCTGGGTGAACCAGACCCCTATTCTGATCAACAACCCCCCCCCCCCCCCCTCCCTACACACACACGCACACACACACACAAAAACCACCACAACCCAATCGTCTATCCCAGGCGGCAAGGTGAACAACAGCTTCAGCTGGCGCGGTGCGGGGCAGGGCGCACTGTGGACGCTGTGCGTGGAGCCGCGGCTGCAGCTGGTGGCCTACGGCGGCGAGGACGGCGTGGTGGGCGTCTTTGTGGCCGGCTTCCAGCAGGACAACCGCAAGCGGCCGGCGCACCACCCCGTCGCGGGTGGGCTCGGGAGTGGGGCACTGGAACTGGGTGGGTGAATGCAGAATGCCACAGGCCCTGGTTGCCCAGCGTCGCCCAGGCTGGGTGCACCAGGGTCTGCACACTGTTCTCATGGGGACAGAACAGGCGCAGATGGCATGGAGACCCGCCCTGTGCGCCCATGCAGGAGTGCCCAGGGATGGCTGTGGCTCTTCTTTCCTGGCCAAGCTGTGGTCCATTGCTCGCCGCCCCTCGCCACCCCTCCCCACCAACCCAACCCCAACCCTCCTTTTGCCCCCCGTCCTCCCCGGCCCAGGGTTCCAGTTCAGGGAGGGAGCGCTGCACGTGCTGGACCCAGGCCAGCTGGCGGCCTCGCACGGCCTGTACGCGGGGAAGAGCGTGGAGCGGCTGCCGGCGCTGAAGGGCCGGCCCTTCCCGCCGGAGGCCCAGGCCGTCACGCGCATGGCCTGGCACCCAAACGCCGGGGAGAAATGGGGCAGGCTGGCCACGGGGTGCTGGGCGGGGTTGGTGCGCGTGCAGACCATCTACCGACGCTGAAGCCGGGTGGTGCTTGGCATGAGCAGCCGCAGCAGCAGGATGCTGCTGCGGCACTCGAGCTGGTGCAAGGATGCTTGCAAGGCGCATTTTCCCTGGTCACAGATCACCAGTGCTGGCTATGGTTGCCTCTCTTGATTCGAGATGTGATCTCAAAGCCAAAGATCCTCCCCAGGGTGCGGATTGATCATGATGGGCATGGCTGCTATGAGCCTCCGTGCCGAGGCGCGCGCGCCCGGGTATCGAGAGGGCGTCACCCCGCAGGGACCATGCACGACGAGCTGCATGCATGCATTGCACGCAGAACAGTGGAGCTACAATACATAGGTCGTAATTTCACATCGTTTCCCATGTTTTTACGCTTGCAGCTTTGTTAGGCTGACGTCGTCACGGTGTCTCGGCTGAGAACCCACCACTGCTCTGTGCACGAGGACCGCCTGCCTCCCCCGAGGCCAAGACGGGAGTCCCCTGAGGTTTCGCAAGTCGAGGTTTAGTCATGGCGAAGGCGAGTCTGAAACCCAAGGCGGCATCCAAGGGCAAGGCGAAGGCTCCTTTACCGGCAAAAGCTCCTGCAGCCAAGCAGCCTGCAGGGGTACCAGGTGCGTCGATCATCATGTGCTGGATGGCTCCTTGGGTTTCGGCCATGCCCAAACATGTCGAGGATGTCAGTGCTCCCATTGCGCATGGTGCAACTCCATGCCTTGCCCAATGTCCTCCACTGTACTTTCCAGGTGTGGAGAAGAAGAAGAGCAAGCGGAGGTACCATGGGCCCCCAGCCCCGCGGCAGGAGAAGAAGCCTCGTGGACCCGCCCCGGTCAACCCCCCCGGCTCGAGGCAGGCACGGAAGGCGGAGGAGGAGGCCGCCCAGGCAACCACTGCCACCATCGCGGGCGCCCCTGCCACGCAGCAGGCGGACTGGTTGTGGGACCGATACCGCGCGGAGTCCGGCGCCAGCGAGCTGGAGAGGCAGGGGCTGACGGCGGGGTGCTTTGCGCCGGCCCACCCCTCGGAGTGGCTGGAAGAGAGCCTGGCCAGCCTGCCGGAGCAGGCGGCGTTCCTGGGGAGGGGCGGGCAGCACGTGCCCGTCGGCTCGCCTGCCGTCCTCGTAGTGACGGGGGCGGCCATTCGAGCGGTGTCCCTTATACGGCAAATGCCTGCCGTGAACAAGGTGGGCACTTTCGATTGTCTGGGGTGTGTTGCGGCAGGCTGAAGTCCTTTGGGGAAATCCGGCGGTCTGCACAATCCCTCGCAAGGGATTATTTTCTTGAGGGAGGCTTCGCAGGGACAATGAATTGTTGCGCTCAAGGCCGAGGCAGCATTGTCTGCTGTGCACACTCTGTCTCGGTAGAGCTGAATTGGCTTTGCGGGGAGTGGACGAGGCAGGGGGATCCCTTCACCAGCAACGATCCTCCACACCACCCCATCGTCCAGGCATGCAAGGTTGGCAAGCTCTTTGCCAAGCACTTTAAGCAAGCGGAGCAGGAAGCTGTGTTGTCGAGCACTGTCATGCATGTGGCTGTGGGAACCCCAAACCGCCTCATCAAGCTCATAGAGGCAGGAGCTCTGAAGCTTGGCAGACTACGATATGTGGTGGTGGATGTCGCCATGGATGCCAAAAAGAGGTGCGTTCATATGTGGTTTTGGTGGGGAGGATAGGGAATTGACGATATATATGTCGAAGACAGCTCGGGGGTTGAGGTGACCGTCAACCTGCGGCTGTGGAGCCCTGCATGGGTGCACGGCCCAGCTTCCCGACCCACGATCGGCCCCGTCCTCCCTCCGCAGAACGGTCCTGGACATGGCGGAGACGAAATCTGACTTCTGGACGCTGTTCGCGAGCCATCTGAAACCCAAGTTCGAGTCTGGAGCACAATTTGTGCTGACGAGCTGCAAAGTCGACAAGGATGGGCCCCAGTAACTGACACGCATTTCGTGGAACCCTCACATCGAACCCAAACTTGCGGCAGCTGAATTTGATGAGAGTACAACTATCGATTCGGTGGTCTCACGCTGACGGCCTCACGAGCGGGATGTTCAGTACCATGTCGGGGGAGGATGCCCCAACCCCACATGCTTACGTCACCATCCAGCATGGAGTTGGGAGGGGTGACAATATCCACAACGAACGCGGTGGGTGCATCGTCGCGATCCCGAGAAGGCGATGGGGATGCCAAACACACATCGCAGTCCTTGAGCGTTCTTAGCAAGTACACTGAGCTCCGCACAGATGAAGGTGGTGTGCACGCGCGCACCCGCGTCCCACTCCTGAACCCTGCCCAACGTCGACATCCCATGCGCGACACCAGAGTTTCCCCGGCCAACCCAAGACCTTGAAAGAGCAAGTGTCCATGAAGTCTCAGAGGGCATGCTGGCCAGCGGCCCTGGGCCGCACCGGGAGCAAGGAGGTGCAGGAGGAGGAGGAGGTGACGCCCTCCCGCCCCTCCCGCCGGTTCAGCGGTTGGTGGGGCAGCGACGCCGAGTCCGGTTCCAAGCCCGACGCCGCGTCCAAGCTCGCCCCGCGCACCGTTAGCCTCCTGTCCCAGGGCCTGGACCTGCTGTCCCTGAGGATGGCCTCCAGCGCCCTGCCAACTGATGAGCAGGCCGCGGAGGAGGCCGCCCCCCCGCCCAAGGTGTCCCACGAGCGCAAGCGGAGCTGGTCCATCACGGGAACCCTGGGCCTGGGCCGGAAGGTGGCACCCCAGGCCGCGGCGGATGCGGGCCAGAGCGCCATCGGCGCCGGGATCGCGGCCCCGCCGCCCCCGGCCCCCTCCTCCTCCCTCGCCGACGACTACGACATCGCGGCGGCGGGCAGCGGCAGCGGCCCCACGCTGGACGACTCCAGCGCCGGCAGCTCCCCGATCGCCCTCGTGGCGGGGGCGGGCGGCGCTGCCGCCTCTCCCCGCAAGCACGCCGCCGGCGCGGGCGCTGGCGCCGGCTCGCCCGCGCGCGGGCAGGGCTACCGCCGCCTCTGGCAGTCTATCACCAGCACCAAGAAGGGCGAGGCCTCGCGCATGAGCCGCGCGGGGGGCGAGGTGACTGTGGACGAGCTGGTCCGCGCCGTCAAGGTGTGGCCCGGGGTGGGGAGACTGGATGGGGGAGCGGAAGGGGAGGCACTGTTGCTGAGGCCAAGGATCGATCTGGCGGCTTGTACCTGCCTCGGCCCGTCCCTGCCCGGACTGCACAGGGTGTGACTTTACGACAGCATTCCGCCGCCCGTGCTGGCTTGCGTATTGCACGCCCTGGATCCCGCCCCCTGCGGCTGCTGTGCCTAAGCTTCGGTGTCTCGACCTCCCACCGCCCCCTTCCTTCGTCTACTCCAACACAACAACCTCCCATCCCCGTCCTTCCCCCCCTTTCCTGCCACAGCGCCTGGGCCCCAAGCAGGGCGTGATGGAGGGCGTGGAGGCGGGGCTGGCCTGCCTGGACTCGCGCGCCGTGGCGGCCCTGCTCAAGGAGCTGGCCAAGGCCGGGGCGGGGCACCGCGCGACGGAGCTGTTCGACGCGCTGCGCGCGCTGCCCCCCGGCGCGCCGTTGGCCCGCCTGGCGGACCTGTACACCTACACCACGGCGGTGAGCCAGTGCGGCGCGGGGCAGCAGCTGCGGCGCGCGCTGGAGCTGGTGGCGGAGATGCGCGCGCGGCGCGTGGCCTGCAACATCCACACCTACTCCGCGCTCATGGGAGTGTGCGTGAAGTGCGGGGAGTGCGACCTGGCCCTGGACGTGTACCGCCAGGCGCTGGACGAGGGGCTGGCCCCCAACGCGGTCACCTTCAACATCCTGGTGGACGTGCACGGGCGCGCGGGGCGCTGGCGCGAGGCCGCCGCCGTGCTGGACGCGTTCGCCGGCGCGGGGCTGGCCCCGGAGTCACGCACGTACAACGCGGTCATCGCGGTGTGCGCGCGCGCGGGCGCGCCGGACGCCGCCGGCGAGGTGTACGCGCGCATGCTGGCGGCGGGGGCCGCGCCCAGCTCGACCACCTACACCTCCCTCATCTCCGCCTACGGCAAGGCGGGGCGGGAGGTGGTGGCGCTGGCCGCCGCGCGCGGCATGGCCGCGCACGGCCTGGAGCCCAACGTCATCACCTTCTCCTCCCTGGTCTGCGCGGCGGAGAAGGCGCGGCGCGGGGACCTGGCCCTCGCCGTTGTTGCCGACATGCGCGCGCGCGGGTGCCGTCCCAACGTCGTCACCTACAACGCCCTGCTGGGAGCCTGCTGCCAGGGTGGGTCGGCGTGTGGGTGGTTGGCGCGTGTGCAGTGTGGGGTGGAATGGGGGAGAGGGATGGGATACAGTGAGGTGTGAAGCACGGCTGTCACAGGTCCACATCCGCGTGCGGCTGGGGTGGGCTTGGGGCTGTGCAAGGGGGGGAAGCCACCGCCACTCCCCCCCGCCCCCTTCCTGGGCGGCCGCACCTTCCACCCTCCGTAACTCCCCACCACCCACCACCCCCTCTCCCCTCGTTCCCAGCAAACATGTGGCAGGCGGCGCTGGACGCCTTCACCCAGATGCGCAGCGAGGGCTGCTGGCCCGACGCGGTGTCCTACTCGCTGCTGATCGCGGCGCTGCGCCGCGGCGGCGCCTGGGCCCCCGCCCTGGGCGCCTACGAGGGCATGC